ACAAAAGATTGCTTATAGCACGCAGCTGTCGTTGGCTAGGCACTGCTTTGTTTAAAAATACCTTCAACAATAATTTTATAATTTGTCTGGAAATAAGCAAAGTTGTTTTGGTTCGAAATAATATTAGAAATTCAGGTTTGGGTGACCCATTTACATAATATTCCGAATCGCATAAAATATTTCCTCACTATGAGTAAATAAATCTTCCGGTCTCAAGTCAGGGTGTGGAAAGATTGATTTTATATTCTAGAAATGTTCTTTCCTCCCATTTGTTTTCCAAGCTCAATCAATTGAATCGTGAAATATCAATCTCCAGCTAGTCTTTTCATTGCTAGTAATTTAGATGTAATCGTGTGGAGAATAATATTGGAATTTGCTGAAATTGTTACGCATTTCGATACTTTGCGAAGGAATTAATTCAGTTACGAGGAACGAACACCTTTCAATAGATTGAATTACGTTTAGATTCGATAAAGAACTTGACGTAAGTTAATATGAATTCGAAATAATCACTGGTATGGTTCAAAGAGTTTGTGAGACTTTGAGGTGAATCGTCATTGAAACTGTCCAAATACTGTTGATCTGTTGAAAATAGACATTGACACACGAAACCCGGGACCCAGTTTGAAAATAATAGCGATTCTTCGAAGTGGAATTTTTTATTGATATTCTTGAATGAATTAAATCTGGTGTACAAATCAAAAACAAAAAACGTGTGCGTCGGGACGTCCAACAGAAGTGAAAACTTTAACTAATCTAAGTTGAACCATTTAGTATTGAAATTTTTTAATTCGAGAAGAGATAAGTTTATTATTCGAATTTTATGTATATTAATATGATAATGTAAAAAGGTTATTTATTTTCGAAATCTTTTGTGTATGTACATATATTATAGCTACCATAAGCCAATTGTTACTTTTGTAGGAATAAATAATGATACTGATAAGGTACATTCACAAAATTAGTATAATCATTTTTAAGCCACGTTTCGCACAATCAAATAATATTACGCGCTTGCTGGTTACATTTTTATAATACTGTCAATAGTATATTTCAACACTAAACACTGAGCGTTTGTCCGACGAGAGAGGAAGAACCTGCCTTTCGCTGACGTTTGACGAAGTGGTTTATCCTCCTATGAGAAGTTATTATTTCAAAAATGGAACAAGTGTATCCTAACAATGTCGAGCCCCTACCTGGGGGGGCCCTGGCTTTACTGGCTGACGGTCAGCTACGACCCTGTAGCCCAATATGATGTAAATAAATCGTCGGTGAATAGGAAAGGGAAAGCAATACATTTACATCAAAATATCAATCATCTCATAAAATGATATCTCAAACTATAATATAATGTAATATTGTATATTGTATTCCACTGGATAGAGACCAAAATGTCGACATTCAATGATGTTATTCAACTCAGGGATACGGAAATAAGTAAGAGAAATGGAGTAAACAATACTAATTGGGAGCCCAGTTCACCTTGAGACAATGAAATGAGAATCATTCTCCAACATTTTGGAAAATATATATTGTACGTACTGAAACTTTTTTTACCATCATAGAAGTCTGTCTGGAAAGAGGTCACCTTCTTAAGTGAAATGAAGCCTTATTTGGATGCCCTAATTGATAGCTGCTACTTTCTGATAGTGATTACAAGTCTTTTCCAATGAGATATGATGAAGGGCTAGAGATAGTATGTATCCATGGGAAACACCAACGTTGATGATGAAGGAAATCGTCGAAAGGTTACTTTCAAAGAACGATATTCAAATAAGCTGAGGGACAATGAACAAAAACGATCTGTCGAATCATAACATCGAAATTTAATCAGCTGATTTAAACAGTTAATCATAAGCTTTGCTATCAGTAATATCAAAAATCATGGAGAAAGGCGATCATTCGGAAACAAAGATCAATCTTCTATGTCACCCATATTTGGAATAACCCAATCGAGAAACATGGAGAATCAAGAGCTGTTGCGCTTGATATTTCTGAGACCTTTGACCGTGTGTCGTTTGCTGGCCAAACTTCGATGCTCTGGCTTGTCGTATCATTTCTGTGTATGGCTCTTCAGCTTCCTGAAAGAACTTTCCCTGCAAGTTACCGTCGATGAATATCTCTCAGATACATTCACCATTAACGCTGGTATTTCCCAGGGATCCATATTGTTTCCAACCCTCTTTTTATTGTATATCAACGACTTAATGGATAAAACTAACAATCCAATATAATGCTTTGCTGACGACAGCACAATTGTCTCGTTATTCCATTTGGATTCCAGGACATCGGCTACGGAGGGACATCTTCACCGGCAGCAAGAGGTTGCATATCCTAATGAGGATCTAGAAGTTATTTTGAATTGGGGTTAAAGTAACCAGGTTCAATTCAAGGCCACAAAAACCCAGGCATCGCCAAAAAGATAAATGTCTCCGAATAACCGGACATAATAATGTCAGGTCAGTCAATTCCGCTTTCTGTTTGGATAAGTTTGTTGGAGGTTGAAATGAACACCAATATGTCTTGGCACAATCAAGTCGCTGGAACTGCAAAGGCTGCCTCTCAAAAGCTTGGAACAGAACCAGAAAACTATACACACCTCAGCAACTTTTGATGCTTTAAAAAACTCAGATCAGACCTTCTTTGGAGTATTGTTCTCATGTATGGAGCTCTGTCCAGAACATACCCTGAAGTTGCTAGATTCCATCCAGAAAAGAGTCATTCGCCTGAATGGAGACGCGAACGTCACGTGCAACTTTGATAGCCTGGAACATCGAAGAAACGTTGGAGATTTGTCTTTCTTCTATAAATACTTTCACGGGAGGTGTTGAAGTGACTTGGCACATTTAATTCCACCAAGAGTATTGTACAAATCAGAAATAGAGAGCGAATTTTTTCCTACAATCGATTTTGAAGTTTGGATTTGCTGCAGAACATCTTTGGGAACCAAGTGATCATCTTTCTGTTTATGTTATCATAAAGAACAATGTGTTGCACGAATCACCTCATTTTCGTTCCAAAAGGATCCTGAAGAACGCTAATGAAAACAATTCGACTTTCTGAGGACAACTGATGGAGGACAAATTATTATATATTCGCAACAATAACCATCTAGTCTGTCGCAAGTGCTATAGATAAAACTACAGAAGTGAATAATCACCAGCCAGTACCCTGATAGACAGATGAATGCCAGAAAGGTCCTTCAATAAATTGAAAATACATCACTTCAAAGTCAAAATATGCTTTATTGTCTGAAGATTCATATCTAATTGACAAAGCTTGGTTGAAATAATTAAAAAACAGAATGACACATATTAGCTATCGCTACTTGGTCAGGTAATTACTATTCCAGTAATGTTGTCAAAAAACTAGACACTATAAAAAATATACATTGCGAGTTAGTTGAATAAAATTTCAAAAAGTTACTGAACCTTGGTCTGCAATCTCGCAATTTTGCTCTACACAGAAAACATGCAGCTCTTTTCTGTATAACTGAAATTGACTGCAATATTGTCACATTACATGCACTCCAGAAAGACAAAACAAGACGGGTTTTATTTCCCAAGAAATTACATTTTTATAAATAATTTAGTTGAAAAATGACAAGTTTCGTTCGAAGAACATGAGAGAAAAAAGGTTTGATTATTATTTTTTTTGCCATAAAGAAGTTTGCAAGAACATCATATTGAAACTGAGTAATATTCTGAAAAAATATTAATTTTCTTTCCCATGTTTGTACTTGATGGTAGAATCTATTGAAGAGAGTCGTCAAAAAATTCATTGAGGTAATAGTACACTTTAGTTTGTAGAAGTTTTCTCAACGTTTTTTTGAATGTAGCTATGCCTCCTTTGAATATGTACATATTTGCCAGTGTGAATATTTTCAACCTGAGGAAATGTTCTTTACATGAATCTAATCTTTGGAGTCCCAAAATTCGACAACGTAATAGATTGTACTCTGGAAATAACTGTACTAGTAATAAACAGTCTTTGCTATGTTGAAACCCACTTAATTTTTTATAATTTGTATTGCATATATGGCTTTTTTAATCTCTCCAATCTTTCTCATCTAGAATATATCCTGAGAATTTGGTTTCTGTATTTGGTAAAAATTTCAGGCTGTTCATAAAACTTAATTGGGTGAATAATCATACTGACTGTTTTATAGACATTGATCACAAGCTTGTTTGCTGTAAACCAATTCCGAATTCAGATCTAATGTTTGAGAGAGAAGTTACGTTTCAGTGTTTGCAGTTCCACATATACTTTGCGAGTTTCTAAATAAGAATTGCGTGATTTAAAAAAGTATTGTATGATCTACACAATCGAATGTCTTAGATTTGATTTGTACTTTAGTACCAGTTTCCTTCGCTTTCTTCAAGAATGTTTTGAATTCGGCCCGTTTTTGCACCTCATTCCTAGTGTAGAATGGTGATACAGCACAGGGATTCCATATCGTAGGCGAGACAGTGAGCCACGTATGACAGCCTTCTGCATTTGTCTGTCTAAGATTTCTGCCTCAGTGCGGCAAACCGTCATGGTCTTGAGATTTGAGAGTGGAGAGGATATAATTCCACCCAAGACACCGATAATCAAAACAACCATTAGGACAGAGTGGTCTGGATAGAGAAGAACTACTCATTAACTTATATGAGCCTGAAGGTGAGGAATGAAAACTTTCAATAAATTCGGCACTCGTTTCCCAGTATTATTATAATTCTTTATTGTATTTGGAGTATACATCTCGCAAAAAGAATTTTGTATTAATGAGTAATAATGTAACATGAAAAACAAAAAAGTGACACGAGAACACTGAAAACATAAAACAGACACATGACAACAAAGTGACAAACCTATTAGTTGACAATATAGTTATTCTTCTTTTAAAAAAGTTATTTAAGTTTTTACTAACATAGGGAGATACACTCACGTTATCTCTATAAGGTTTTTTTAGTAATTCAAAGAAGATTTTGTACATTTTAACCATAAAATTAACTCACCTATCGCTTGAGGGGCTACCAATTGGACAAATCCTGCGCTGAATAAAACTAAGCAAACTGGAAGTAAACTCCATGCTGCAAATTGCGATGCGGGGTGTTGTGTGAGGTCCCTGTATAACCATAACCTAGCTGTGAACAATTCAATTGATTTTCGGTAATTTTTCCAATGAATATTCGATGAGAAAACTGTGTTATAGTTAAGAACTATCGAGAGGTGAAAAATGTTCATTACTGATTACAAAAATGGTTTTTCAGAATCCATAGATAACTCGTTTGAGAGGTTTTTGGAAAAGCGGTATCGATGATACATGCTGCAGGTGGAAAGCTCAGAGAAAGGTTGGTATACAGGACTATTTTGGGAGAAACAGTATTGGCACGGGTAGCAAGAGTTGGTTCTTAGGGGACTCACTGTTATGTAACCTTGCAATTCACAAGTTACTATATATTCTATGAAATAACAGGTTATGAAGTCAACTCGGCCATTCTAAATCAGGGTACCTTTAATAATACAGCACGAAGGCTCTCAATAGATAAAGATAAAGCTCATTCAAATCGAGCATAATTAATAGCATTCACTAAAAGAATTAAGATGGAAGGATAAAGGCCTCTACACTCCGAGGTGTGAAAGGAGGTTAAACATTTCAGAATTTCAGTATTTTCCAGGCTGATATGAAAAAACCTATCCAGAGATAACACTGATGCTGGCTTAACATATTCAGGGAATAATATAAATGTTGAAACTTGACATGGGTGTACTCAATGATGGCCTGACCCATAATGACTTATATTCATTGCTTTGGTTGCCAAGAAGTGAGCAAAGCAAAATCTAAAGTGAAGCACCAGATTAGTGAACGGGTCGTTAAGGAACATTGAGGTAACTAGGAAAATACATACGGGAAAACCTTTATGAAGAGACTGTCTGAGAAAAGAATTGAAGGCCTACTCTGGACACTATCCATACGTACCACCTGAAAAAATAGGTTTCTATAACAGAGATCCTAGGTGCATGCTAGGAACAGAGAGAGTAAATAAACAGCTCATCATGTTTTATGCTAATTCGATGCATTTGGTCACAGAAGGCAAGTAATTTACGTGCAACCCAACCTTTGCTCAGGAGAATATGACGAACATTCCACAAAGGATCTATATGAACTGATACAGAGAAAAGAATTATTGGAAAGGAATAGGTGTCATGTACAGGAGGAACGAAAATAGCACTTGAGGGCCAAAAAAATGTAACAAACATTCAACAGAGGACCCGTACAAATTAAATACAATTCTTAGATGAATATAATTGTTTTATAGATACTGAAAACAAAACAAGTGTAAGTTCATTGCTTTCGTTTTGGAAGCAGGTGATTAGTTGAAATTATATTTTATTTGATCACTGGGATGTCCTATTAATATCCTGGTATATTTACATAACTGATTCGTTTAGTTTTTTGATGTAAAAAAAATAGTTATACTCACCATTATTGCACATCGCCACTCCTCGGTCCAATATGAAACTCAAAATGGCCATAATTACACCTAGAAGGGCCAGAAAGACCCAGTCCTCGCCCAATCTTGCAAAAGTGTGCTTCCATAAAAAAGCTATGGATCTCACTAATTTACCTGTGGCGAATTATAAATAACTGTTTCTCATTTGTTACTCATTTCTAACATTTTACTTACCATGATATCCTCTGAGTTCTTTTTTCCGAGCTTTTTCCTCTTTTAGTCTCCGTTTCTCTTGTGCTTTCAATCCTTCAAATTTTGCAAATTCTCCTAATTGCCGGCTATACCGGCCATACATCTGTAACAAAAATTATCTGGTAGTGATCTATAAATCTTCAGTCACTTGATTCTATGAATATGATTGTTTCCTCATTGATTAATAATAATAATAATAAAGTTTATTCATCCTGCCACAGGTAATAATAAAGTTTATTCATCCTGCCAATTTACATGATTTTTATAAGATTTATGTATGAATAAACAAAAAATCACAGAAGCTCTAAAACGTGCTTGTTAGTGATAAAATAATACTGAAAAAGAAAATATATACAATAAAAAACAAAAGACAAAAAAGACAAAGACAATATCGATAAAATTATATTGGAGAAATATAAACTTAAACCTATTATAATATAATTTAATATTGTAATACATAAGGTTACCTACTAGCGACTAGTGAATGAGAGAATAGATGGTAGAGTATGAAAAGTATTCTTCATTCGAGTCGACCAACAATGACTTCTCGAAATTTTTTTCGGGGTTCTTTATGTATGAAAGATTTCAGTTCTTTTTTGAAGCGATGTGGGTTCTTTATCAATTTGATTTCATGTGGAAGTGTGTTGTATAATTTTGGAGCAAAGTATTTATATGAACGTTGGGATATTAGTTTTTGCATTTGTGGTATGATATGTTGATTTCGTTGACGTGTATTATATTCATGTGTGGGTAATTCAAATTTTTGTCTTTGGTGGTAATGTATATTTATTTTCAGGAAAAAGAGTTGATAGATGTCAAATACATGACTTTCCGCATAGAGAGCATCAGATGGAAAAGTGAGTTCTTTTTTTAAGATAATTTTTAAAAACCGTCTTTGGAGGACTTCTATAGGATATAAATGAGTTTTTAGGGCACCACCCCATACTAATAATCCGTATCGAAGATGGCTCTCTACAAGGGCATGATTCAGTGTTTTTACTTGCTTTAATGGTAGTGAGGATGCCAGGACTTTAAACTTGTGGAGAATGAATCTTAGCTTTTGGCAAAATTACATTCATTTCCTCGTATTTTCAGTGAAGGCCATATCGAACATTCAATGAGATACGTTGACAACCATATCCAAAATATTTCAATAATTTGTTTGGAGAGTCAAGCTGAATAAGGGAATCTATGCTCCTATAACCAGCTGATACTTCGTAAGAATAAGAAGATAGACAACCAGTTGATGGTATACGAGCAAAATATTAACCAAAATCTCACATTAAATGTAGTTGAGAAGTGAATACTTAATAGCTTGAAACAGTGCCTACTTACAGAAAACATATAATTGTTTCTCAAGGAATTGTAATGCGAACTAGAATTTTGTCACAATCATCACTGTTGTTAATAAAATGCATTATCCTCAGAATAGTTTGTATTCTAAATGAATTGAGTGTTTTTTCTTATAAGGTTATCCAGATTTGGTACTGAAGACTCAGTACCAAATCTGGATAACCTTATAAGGCAAGTTATACATCGGATGTCTACCAGTGAGGATGACAGTGTTCCCTTGTAAGTTTATCTTTTACTCACTATATAGTGTAAGAATCCTGTGAATGATGTCTGATTCAATTTCATAACGAATGTTTGGAATAAAAACTGATAAAGAAAAGTGTTGTTTCAGTGTTAATATTGGAGTATTTGTTTCAAAAGTATTTTTCTTTCGTGTATTTCAATGTTTACATGCTGGAAATAGCTGTTTCGAGAAGGCTTTTTCCTCCAGTTCGTGTCTGAAAGTTACTTCTTTCCATGATCTACACCTCTTTGTATAGAGTTACTTTTTTTAAATGGATTGCTTCCTTCCTTTCCTTGGAAGGTTCCCAAGAGGAAATGAACGAGAATGAATTAAACGAGGTATCTTTGTTTAATTTGGTATATAAACGCCTGTCATCGCAACACCCCGAGGACAATGTCGATTATTACTGGTAGTGATCAGACGTTATAATGTTTACTATAATTTGCCTGATATCTGCATAAACACTCCGTTTTCAAGCTAGCAAGTATGCAAATATTAGATATCAAATACAGATTTCTTCACTCATCACAAAAAATAGTTGAACTAATAATACTACCGGTTCAAATGTCGTTGTGAAATTGAAGAGTGTGTACTCAATGTGACCTATTTGTGAGGGATATATGCCAAATGAAATGATCAAGGAAAAACAATGACTTATGATTTTTATTTCAAGGAAAAACATAGGCAAATATTTTTCAAAATGATTCAGTGCAAATTTAGTATGGATACCAGAGGCAAAAATAAAATATCCTGTTGTGCAACAGGAAATGCCTTTTGTTACGGAAACACCTACCGTCAAACCAGTCATCAAAGAAAAAGATTTAATTTTTAGAACTTAGTGTAGGTTTGAAGATAGAACTTTGAGGAGTATGTTCATATGAAGTTTTTTCTCAATATAGATCTGATAATAATTCTAAATCTTATCACGTTATCGAGAAACACTTTCAGAAACTTTCCTCTGCTAACTCATATCCGCGTAGTTGCAGTTCCACTTTAGGCAGGTCAACATTTGTAAGCGAAATAAACCGGTGAATAGTAGATATAGTTTGTGTTTTACATTGTGTTTTTCAGCCACAAAAGGCGTAATGGTTTTGATCTTTTCTTCTGTGGTTTGAATTTTATATTTACTGCAACAATGAATCTGTGAAACTGATCATTCTGAATGTATAATAAAGTGTCCATACCATTTGTATGGATTTGTGACTGGAATATGTTCTTCGAACGAAACAACATATCTTTCTCAACACTATTTCACGATGAAAAAACTTTATATTAGATATATTTTTTAAGGAAATATCCTGAAAATAAAAATAAAACTTACCTCACCTTCAAAATCTTTGCAGTCAGTTGAAGTTTTTGTAGAACAATATTTGGAAGCAGTTTTCAATACAAAATCATTGGCTGAATAGTAAATTAAACAGAAATAATGAGGAAACAACAATATTCCTGCCTTTGTTCTAACAGTAATTATATGCTTTTATCTAGAATATGTGGTGATTCATGCGGAAATAACAAGGTAGTAGCAAATTTTTGTCTTGAGAAATACATAACAGTTTAAATTTATCAATATTCTGGCACTCCTCAAACTGAACTGGTCATCCTGTTGTCTGTCTCTTTATACGGTCAGATCGTCTTAACTCAGGTATTTCAGGTACTGTAGGTAAATTTGCCTGTATTTGTTCTGCATCAGGTACTCTTCTTCGTGTGTAGGGTTTATTCAGTAACTAGACTTTGGTGCTATGCTTTGTCGGATCGTTCTTGTTGGTGGTTCTCAGATACCTCAACTATTAACGCTGGTGTTCCGCGGGAATTCATGTTGTATTCAATCCTATTTCTATTAATCATCAACGATCTATTAATCGTCTTTGCTGATGACAATATCTATTCTTTCAATTTGCATAACTAAACATTAACTGCTAAAGATCATATTTGGCAACAACAAGGGGTTATAACAATTCTGAAAAATTCAACTTGTGTTACCAGCCAAGTATCTACGATTCAATGCTATGAAAACTCAGGAACCAGTTTTGACAGAACCAGACATTATAATGGCAGGGCACACAATTCTGCTATATGTGTCGATTGCTCTGTTAGGTGGAAAATTGTATACCAATGTTTTGGCACAATCATTTTCCGAAGTAACAAAGACAGGCTTTTAGAAACTATTTCGAAATAGATATTTGCAAACACTTCAACTTCAATGTTCGATGAAGCTCAAATAATACTTTCTTAAGCATATTGCTCACATATATGGATATTTGCCTTCTAACATCCTTAACGCTGCTGGATATCGATGAAAAAAGTCGGTTTTCAAATTGGAGACTCAAAATTTACAAGCAACCTGGATACAGCTACCCTGTGTATCGAGGTTCAGCGATTTGAATCCATTACGGTCTCAGAGTATTTACGAGTACGGATTTTATTTTATTGCTTGTGATTCTCCATAAATAAATCAATAGTAAAAAACAGTTTGAAGTACAGGCTTTCATTTACCAGCTCTATGAAGAAACAATTAATTACGGTATACACAAGTCGACATGTTCCTCGACCTTGCAGTCAACGCACATACCATTGACGGTGTCTGCTGCAGTTGCAGAAAAAACGTTCGGTAATACAAGATCCATTCAACAATGCCTGGATTTTCTCCTCTTTCATCCTCACACACAAAAGCTCGTCGAAAGATTTACCTATTTCATAGAACAATTTTATTGTTTGAATTAATGACGTCAAGAACAAGTTACATATTGTATTCACAGGCGAATCTCGCGAAAAGCTTTCATACCATATAAATTATTCAATGCAGTGAATTGAAGTCTCACACCCAAATCCGGAGTCTCCTAGGGCTCACTCCTAGCCCCTTCCCTATTCTTAATCTATGTTCACTCGCTTTGAAATTCTGTTGCAAGATCTGACCCGCACTAACATACATAGAAACATTGCAAGTTAAATAAAAGCTTGTAATGGAAACCATCTGAAATAAAGTTTTCCATTAAGAATATACTGACTCGTCACATTGTGCAAAATTATATCAATGTTTAATAATTCAGTCAATCGCTATAATAAAAATGGACATATTGAATTGATAATTAGCAGAGTGGAAGTTCCGACGATGATGAAAGGACTAATTTTGTTATAATAACCTGAGGGAGCGTGATAAGGATAAACAGGGATACTTGCTTCTCATCCAGAGGCCCATCAGAATATTTGAAATATACACATCTCTGGAGGTAGACCGCGGTAAAGAATGGTAATATCGAAATGGGGTAAACACAGGTGAGTAAATCCCGAGTGCTATGATTTGGTGTTACTGGCGATCAAAAATTCGACAGAACAATCAGAGACTTTTTTTTGTTGATATGCAAAATTGCCAACAAGTTGAAGGGTGATAATATCTTCAATGATCGTAGCTTAGATGATAAAGTTTTTGGACTAAGTCCAAGTCTCCACCTTTCCCAAAATGGCATATGTTAACATCTACTGCTTTTATTCTAAATAAGTGGGAAGAATGAGAGGGGTGCCCAAACTTC